TGTCTTCAAGACCGTGGCTTCAAGTTTCATTTTCCTTATAGATTGTCCATAAAAATCCATATGAGCCTGGTCCAGGGGATAACTCTACTCTCAACTGTCCCCTGCCCTCCTTTCCATGGAGGATCGGCTGTTCCTCAGTAACTACTGGTGTCTGGGGAAGGAACCTGATTGGTTCAAAGCCATCAAAAAGAACAAGAAAACCATCCATCCATCTATCTAGTCAGCAGCTGTGTGTGATAAAATAAGAATACGCTTTAGACAACTTAGGGCACCAAGTTGTGTATCAAGATCATGACCACAGGTTACCTAGGATATAAGTCATTACCTCTAGTGATGAAAGTTCCTTTCCTGGAGCAACTCAGTCTGGAAAGAATTCATGCTAAGTCACAGGCCATCCTGATTTAACTATTCGTATTTCTCTTCTGGTATTTAACCTTGCATACTACACCCCATCCATCATGAACAGGTGGCATGGCCCAGGAAGGCCCCCAGGATCAGCCCTGGGTCCCTACAAAGCAGGTCCGAGGGGCAGCTCACTGCTGTGCCCAGGGATGAGAGGCTGCACTCTGGGGAACAGGACTCTCCAGCAGGGTAAAAACAGACCAATGGTGCCCCAGGCTCCAGAGCAGCGCAGCAGGTGTGAAAACAGACCAATGGTGTACCTGACACGGGCAGCGCAGGTATGAACACCAAGAAGCAGAACCAATCAGGCACAGCAGTGCCAGGAAGCTGCATTTCCTATAGCATATGAAACAAAAGGGCCTGTCCTAACCCCAGGGAGCAGGGAATGAATCCTTGCCGAAGTGACACTTGAACTGAGCTTTAAGAGGTGCGCAGGTACAGGCAGAGGACACAAGCATGTGCCGACAGTGTGACATGGGATGCAGACTGGGGAGTTGGAGGGAGGACAGGCAGCTGCATGTGAAGCCCTTCTGATGGAGACAAGTCCACACTCCCAGTGGGGCCATCCTTCTCTAGTGGAACAAAGACGGTCGATAAACTCACCCCAACCTAGAGAGGTTCCTCTCTGAGGAGGCTGTCCACGTGGACCCCAAGGCAGATTCCCAGAGACCAGGAGGGAAACAGACCTGCCCTCTGGTCCCAGCAGCCAAACTCACCAAGGTTTTCACAACAGTGCAGTCACAGTAGGTCCCTCTAACAGAGCACAAGCCACCTGCTGCTGGAGGAAAGGCATGCTGGGCCTGGAGAAGACTGGATTCACACAAGTCACCCGCTGCTCAGAAACACTGGATGCCAATCATGGAGAAAGTAATACTCAGCCAATACACACATCATGACAACAGAGGGACTACATCTGGTCAAGGAAGATTTCACTATTTACGGTAATGATGGAATTTTACTACTTCACTTCACCATGACCTTGCCATGAGAGCAGTGAAGACTCACTTATAGAAGCTGACACCATCTTATTAGGATATCCCTGAACAGAGTTGTAGAGAGTGGATTCTGTCTTCTAATATTACAAATTTTAGCAGGTTCAGAGACTAACAAAAGAATATGTAGCTGAAAAACTCCAAGAGCATTAGTACCAAATAATTTCTCCTGAATAACATTTTCTCTTTGATGATGACTTTTAATATATTCTGACCCATTACTCGATTAAACACATAATTTTTTTTTTCTTTCTAGCTCTGGACCCTTTTCCTCATCTAGTTTTAGGTGAGCACTCAACACCATGCTCCCTGAAGTCAATATACCTTTGACTGGGTTCCCCAGTCACTCACTTCTGGGAAGAAAACCAGGGAAAACCTGCTTCCCCAGCACTCTTCCCTGGGATGGGGTAATGCACGGGAGCTCAGACTCAGGGTGCATCTCTTGCTCAAAGCTGCATAAGCCATCCTAATCCACAATCATGTGTCCTAAACAAATTCCCAAAGTTTTGGGATCTTTGAAATATCCCACAGATCCCAAAGATCTTTGAAATATCTTTAGAGTACTTTCTAGAGGAGTCTTTTTCTCTGATAAATAAAAATAACATAAAACAAGGGAAAAAGGTAAAGTTCATCAAAACGCAAACTCTCTTTAGAAAAGTGTAAAGCACGATAAGGGTAACTGAAAAGGAAAACAAGATGTTTCTCATGAAGATCCTACACCAGAAGCGTCATTTCTAAGGCTGACCTAGTCAAGAAAGAACCCTCTAATGCAGAGCCGCGCACTCTCCTTACTGCTCCCCAGAGGCAGTTGTGTACAGAGAGTGACTGTTCACCCAGGGCAACTTCTCAGCATACAAATCAGCATAAGTGTACAACTACCCAGGCATCCAGCTTCCTGACCCCAGCATCCCCAGTGAACCTGCTTTCTCGTTCCCAGTTGGGGATGGTATGGCAGGAGGCCCAGGGAGCAGCGTTCCCCAGCAGCACTCTCAGCCTCACACATCCACAGGTGTGGGAGGAAAACAGAAACTGTGACAGGGCCCGGCAGCTAAGGCCCAAGTCTGCCACCTGTCCATCAATGCTCCTCTTTTGCCCACAAGGACATGCCTCATGCCTGTTAACAAGCTGGCCTAGAGAGGAGAGCAGAGGCACAGAGGGGAGACCAGGCTGTGTGTCCTCGTCTAAGATCCTGGGGATCAACTGTGACACACAGCTTATTATCTGTACATGATTCTCAAACAAGGTCTTTTATTTGAGTTTATGCTTATTCCTTATTGTACTAAAAGGTGCACTGAACTCATCTTTCTGGGCTTCTTATATTCAAAATATTGTTCACTTAAATAATTTTGACCTCTGAATAGAATCATGACTCTGATGAACCAGTTCAGTTTTTCAATTTCAAAACTCCGTGACTGTCCTCTGGAGTCTGCCCTCTGGAGACTGCCCTAATGGAGCTAGGGCAGATCTGAAACAGATCTCAAGGGCCAGGGTACACTAGAGCTCATCCTCATCCAAGTCTCTGACAATGAGACAAGGTCAGTGAAGATCAACAATTTTAAGAAAAACTGTATGATCTGTCATGGATTCTTCTTTCCTAAGTGTTTTGTAAGTGGTGCTCCAGCTGCGAAAATATGGTTGCAAAAACTGAGTATTATATTTTAATAGAAAACGCTCAGACCTGGGCCCTGAATCAGCAGGATAATCATGGTCCACGGCCTGTGACAAGCTCTGTGCCTGAGGAGCTCAGTAAGTTAAATGAGCTGAAATGGAGGACGGGGCTGAGAAACATGACCTCCTAGGTTCCCCCAAGGCTGAGCCCTACACTTCTATTTAGAATGGCATCAGGCAAACAGTCCATTGCAAACGTGCCCTGCCATGGGATCTCTCTCAGTTAAGTGCGCTCACCGAAACGAAAGTAAAACAGTGGCCGGTTTCCTGCGGTGCTGGCCGCCCGCTCTCTGACCGCGGCGTCTCGGATGTCACACACCCCGATGTTGCCAGCCTGCAGCATTCTTCTCGGGGCTCCTTCACTGTGCTGCAGTCTACACCGGACCACGGCAGCTCCATTCGCTGCTGTAACAAGTTGAAAAAAAACTAATTAATTCAAACTTTAGTTTTTTTTAAATTTGTTACAGCGCCGAGCAGAGCTGCCGACCCCATGCAGAACAGCACAAAAAACACCAAGGGGACCATGTCACACAGGGCCACCCTCAGCGCCCAGCAATACAGGTCAGCCTCATCCTGGGACTGTAGAGGCTCCATCTCCCAGAGCCATCTCCTGGGCATACACAGAACTGCTTCTGTTTCACTTTTGTTTGGCAAGGCACAGAAAATAAAATCTAGCAACACAAGGACCTACCGCCTCCCCACCAGCCTTCCTCCAAAACCACGAAGATAGGAAGTCATCCCAGCAGTTCTGCTGGAGGATGAGAAGGAAAGCGGAGAGACCTGCTTTCTAGCAGCATCTAGTCGTCTGCCCCCATGTGTTCTCTAAAGCTCTCACACACAGGGTCACCCGGACAACACACTGCTCTTCCATCCACTCAGACAGCGCACAGCTCCTTCCTTTTACAGACCAGAGAGCAAGAAAACTCAGGTCGCCAGCTAAGGCAGCCCTGCACAGCCAGCCAATCTTTACATTAACCTTCTTAAGCTCCAAGGAAAGAAAGAAACCACACAAAATCAAACAAGGCTAAAAAAGCAGCACACTCAACACAAATGTCCTGGAAGGTGAGTCGCAGGTGAGGACACTCCTCCTCGCCCCCAACACTGGAGGCCATGTCACAGCCCAGAGAGCCAAAAGGCCTGCACATGTGGAATTGAAGCTCTTCTAGCTGGAACATCTCAGCACGGCTTTATACCTGCTCCAACAGTGAACACTGTAGAGTCCATTTCTGTTGCTGTCCTACCTCCTGGAGGACTTGTGTTAGTACTAAGCCCTTCCTGATGCCCAGAAGATTCTCAAGGTTGCCCTCAGAACAGAGGTGTTACACCTGCAGCCCAGGGTCTCCCTCCTTTCCCTGAAATGTACAGAATCAGCTCAAGTGTAGAATCCTACGTACTTGCATGTGTGAAAACCACAGAATTAAACAGAACTTGTACTTGGTTGAGAATTCATAATGCAGACAATCATGTTTCAAAAAACAACCAACCAACCTTTACGATTTCAAAATCCCAGGCAGGATGTTACATCATTTTCTAGATTTGCCTCCCCAACCCCCACCAATGAAGTCAACAAAAACTGTTGATTAACTTAAACCATTATCAATAATTTTAACTAAGTCAAAATTCATGTTTAAACCACAAACGTTCTCATATGTTTTATGATTAGAGTATTTTAAAGTAATCAAACATATTACTTTCCTCTGTGGATGAATACCTATTACAGTTATCTAGCACCTTCACAGAAAACTCCTATGTGTCTTCTGAATTCACAAAATATGCTGCAGTCACACAAAGGAGTGGGATGGGGCTGGTGCCACCTCAAGGGCCTGATCCGCATGCAGTCTGGGGACTGGGGGAGGACTGGTGCTCAGCTGTTCTCTCAGGAGTTGTAGTTAACTCTTAAAACTGGACACCTTATGCTACTCAGCAAGGTTTACATACTCGGAGGCTGGGGCAGATAGGCTCCAATCAATTTCGATCTCTTCTTCTCATATCCTTTTTGTGTGATGTCACCTGTAAGAGAAGGAAAGGGAAGTTCAGAATGCTTTCACTGGTACAGCCGAGCACTTAACTAAGAAGACACAGTCACACATGTAGGTGTCTTCTGTTTCCTTATAATTTAAGAAGAAAGCACTTTACATCATTCACCTTGACTTTTCTACTGCTTGCAAACACTCATTTAAGTTACATAAAATCCTTTACAGCACATACACACACTGGTCTCCAGCCACTTCTCACAAGGTTTTGGCTCTGATGGAGTCCAGAATTAAGATTATCTTAGTCACATCTGCAGGGCAGGAAACCTCCCTGATCTATACAGCGCTCATTAACTTAATTAACAACAGATTCTGTAGGTGTCTACCCCAGTGAGAGCTGGCCAAAACCACCAATAATGAGCCATCTTCCTTTGTTAAGGAAATTTTTTTTTTTAACTTATCAGACATGTCAGTTCCAAGGACTATACACTGCTAAGGTAGTTTTGAAAATAAGTGTCTAAAGCCAAAAAAAGGTAGATAAAAACAAATAAATAGGACATACAACCTATGGAATCCAAATACATGAATAAGATGTTCACAATATAAACAGGAATTAAATTGCTATTGCTAAAGCCAGAGATTCAAGGATTGCTGCTAGGTTGCCAAGTGTGCGGGACTATAACCTTACGACAGGTGACAACCTTTTCCAATTGCAAGCTTGGACACACCCCACATGCTGATTTGTGCCACTGGATTTTTCTGAAGCTCTTAATTTTCCCCCTAATATTCTGACCATACCATCATTCCTAAAACAGCATTAAAGTTTTAACAAAAATACAGCAAACAAATGAAAAGCTGTTGTGAGTCACACACAAGATGCGAAGCCTGCTTTTCCGGGTGGTGATGCTTGCTACGTCCGATCAACCCAGAGGCACCCTGGGCCAAGAACCGCCTGGGCCACCACTGCTCCCAGCAGTCCACTCCGGCCCACAGAACTCACGACTAGTCTGTGTACACAGAGCTGTAAACAACACAGATATAGGAAGAACTATCCCTCATTGACTATTGAGCAATTTTGATGCTAAAACAAACTGACTACTCTTTGAAGACAATAAACCTGTAAGAATGCTAGTTTCTGTGCTAACTGTGCTGCTGCTCAGCATTTTATAAACTCAAAACCAGCTTGCTCCCTCCAGCAGAGAGAATGCCCAGAGGAAAATGTAAGCATGTGGCAGGGGACAGAGCACTTGCGTGAGGGTGTTGATGGGAAAATCACATACTGGCCTGCCAGAAGGTCACCTGAGCATGGCAGGTACCTATTCTTTACCTGGTGTTTCCCTCAGTCCCTCTCCTCCCAGCCAATCTCACAGGTGCTCTGCACAGTCCTGCCATCGAGTCCTAACCTGGTGAACTAGCCCCTTCCGGCTTGTTCTTCACCCAGAGTTCAGCTCAGTTGTGAGGAGGAGATCAAGATGGCAGAGTAGGAAGATGTAGAGCTCATCTCCCACCATGAAAATTCTAAAATAGATCTCCACGTGGAGCAATTCTCACTGAAAACTAACCAGAGACTGGCAGAAAGACTGCAGTACAACTGATGCTATAAGATCAATCCACATGGAACAGGGTAGGAAGGGAAAAGAAGTGATCAGATGAGGACCTGTGTACCAGGGAACAACTCCATAGAACGGGAAGGTCACAGGGATGGAGCTCTGCCCTGAGGAGCAGGCAGTTCAGCCACAGATCGGCGCCCTGGTCCTGGGGTCTGCCAGGAAAACGAACACCCTGGCTGGCTGGAGGGCCTGTGGACTAGCAGGAGGGCTATGGGAAGCCTGGGCTCCATGGTGAGCAGCACAGCTGGCAACTGAAGGCTGCTCTAGCCACTGCCCATTTTTCACAGCCTGAGCCCAGTCCCACCTCCTTCTCAATGGAGAGAAGGTCTGGCTATGAGACTCAGAGTGGTGCAGACCCGAAGCAGTGACTGAGCAGGGTGGTGGTCACCACTGCTGGTGCTCACACAGGTGGTAAGTCAGCCCCAACCTCTGTCTGGGGCTGAACCCCTCAACTCTGCTGAGAGCCCACACAGGCACCTCCTGATTCAGCATTGCTGGGGTGAGGGGCCTGGTGCCGGGGCGGGGGAAACATACACTTAAAGGGAACAGAGGGGGCTTCAGACCTAACCCTCAGGGCTTCTGCTCCAGCAACCTGGGACCCTGCCCACTCCACAGGGTGGTGACGTCACCAAGCAGAAGGGAGCAGAGGGGAAGCCCAGCTCACAACGGGGCTCCAGGCCTCGCCCTTCCACCTCCAGCCCCTCCTCCTACCAAGGCCAGAGCTGCCAGTACACCCTGGGAAGACATGACTTGTGCTCACAAGTAATGAAGCAAAAACAAACAGTTTAAAAGATAAAGAATTGAAAGCATTAGCAATAAGAATCCTAACTAAACTTGGGAAAGAAACAAACGAACACAGTCAGAATTTTAACAAGAAACTAGAAAATATTTTTTTAAAAAAAGAATCAGTCAGAACTGAAGAATACAGTAAGTGAAGTGAGAAACACACTAGAAGGAAAGAAAAGAAGATTAGGTGATACAGAGGAACACGTTAAGTGATCTGGAAGACAGAAGAATGCAAATCATACATTATAAGAACAGTAAAAAGAAAGGCAAATTTAAAAATGAGAACAGTTTAAATGGCCTCTGGGACAATATCAAGCATATTAACCACCAGGTTACAGAGGTTCCAGAAGAGACAGAGAAGAGGGTAAAATATGTATCTGATGAAATTATGGCTGGAAACTTCCCAAAACTGAAAAAGGAAACATATCCAGGAAGAAGAAGCATGGAGGGTCCCATCCAAATTGAGATGAACTCAGAGACCCACACCAAGACAAGTCATAATCAACAAGGCAAAAGTTACAGATAAAGAGGATTCCAAAGGCAGCAAGAGGAAAACATGAGTCCCATTCAAGGGAACCCCCATACGGCTATCAGCTGACTTTTCAGCAGAAACTCTGCAGGCCAGAAGGGAGTAGCATGATACATATCAAGTGCCGAAAGGTAAAAACTCTTGCAACCTACAATACTCTACCTAGCAAGATTATCATTCAGAATCGAATAAAAGATTTTTAAAAAAAACACACACAAAAACATCTCAGAGAAGCAAAAACTCAAAGAGTTCATCAATACTGAACCTACCCTAAAAAAATGTTAAAGGATCTTCTTTTAGTGGAAGAAAAAAGGCTACACAAGAATGATCTGTAGGGAAAAGAAAAATCCCACTAGTAAAGGCAGACACATACTTGATCCTCAGCCACTTAAACAATCTAGGAGAAATAATCAAAGACAAAGTTCAGCTCAAGTTCTAAAAATTTCCCAGATGAACATTTAAGTACATGGGGGACGGGAGGCGGGGAGAGGGGCAGAGGTCCCCTCCCTTGAAGCCAACCTTAGAGGACACCTTAGACTCTTCACCCTCACTCTGGAAAGCTCCAGATGTTAAAGATCTTGACCCAAAGAAAAACAGGCACTTTTTAAAGGGGAAATGTTAAGGTCAGCCTCACAGAGGCCTCCACACAGGTTCCTAATCCCACAGACTCAGAAAGCTAGGTGGGAGGCGGAGTCAGGACTTCCACACAGGTGTTCTATTTTAGCTCCACTACTACATGCTGGCACTAAGCAGTCAGCTTGGAGAAACTGCAGACACAACTCAGGAATCCCAGGGTGCTATCATCTCTCCAAACCAAGCAGAGGGAAAGGGAGACACTATTTACTGAATGACTTTCACACCCCATGAATTTTATCTAAATCACAGGTTGGCTAACTACAAATCCAGCCTGTGAGTTGTTTTTGGAAATAAAGTTTTATTGGCACACAGTCATGCTCCCGGGTAAGCACCACAACACACACTATGCAGCCTGCAAAGCCAGAAGTACAAACTACTGAGCCCCCTCCTACACGTCCTAAGTAATCTTTTTAATCCTTATAACCACTGATTTTACAGGTAAGCAGTCAAGGTGCAAACTGTATTTGTTTCTCGCCCAGGGCCTCAAATCGAAGAAGAAAACAATCTTTGTCCAACTCCAAAACTTTTCCCATAGAAACCACACCTGGAGTTTTCCCTCAAGCCTCCACTATGTGACCACTGGTCACCATTCTCACTACCTGATGTCCTGCCCAGTTCTCCACCTGACTAGGACACCCTCACACCCCACTGCCTGTTTCCATGCCCCCATCCCTGCCCTGTCTCTCTAACACCCCAGGCCACACGGAATTCTGCACATGTCTCATGAGGCTTCGGGTGGCTGCTCACAGTTTTTCTTCTTTTGTAACACATACAAGTGGCTTACCTTACAAGCCAGGCTGTGACACCTTCATGGGTCAGTGTCCTAAAGAACCAAGTGTGACCCCACTATTCCACAGACCAGGACTGTGTTGATGGAGTTAGTCACAAATGAGCCACAGACACCAACATACAGTGACTTCAAATGGTGACTGGACAGACACTGCATTCAAAATCAGGGCAAATGGCTGGTGATTACTTAATTGTTTAGTGGCCACATGGAGAAAGGCAGAGGGAAATCAAGGATTACTCCATCATTAAAGTGTGTGAGACACCAGCCTGGCTCATGTATCACACAAAGGATCTAGCATCTGCAACAAGGGCAGGTTCCTCAGGTGCCCTGCCCCAGGCATCAGGGCTGAAATGTCCTCACTACATTTCCTTTTTCACACACAAAGTTCAGTTATTTTTAACTGTGGGGCTACTTCAGCATCTGGTAGACAGAGGTCCATCAGATTATTTATGTCAAAGTTACAAGTTTATATAAATAGGGGGATCTTGTGTTCAACCAATGAGGATCTTGGGAAAATACAGTAAGATAGGTAGGTGGCTAGAGACAGAAGAGAGAAACTGGAAGCCTAGATGGCCGAGAGAAGGAAGCAAGATGGGTTAAAGAAGGTTCTAGGAGAGACCAATGCTGGCCAGCTTTACACACAGCTCCACCCACCCAGAGCAGCTCCTTGGTTCCTGCCTGAGGTT